TCTAAGATCATGCCTATGACTGGACTCTTAAGCAAGGAAAACATTATCCTGACATGCAGTATGTTAAGAGGGGTTGCACAGTGCAAGGAATCCTGACCTTATTATCAGGAGCTGCAGCTGTGTTTCCTCTGTCTGTGCACTTAGACACATCCCTGAAGCTCTGGGCCCCAGATAATAGAGTGTGTCTCACAGTCCTGCAGCTGAGATAATATCACCACGGTTGGCACCCAGGAAATATTGAGTTGTCATAAATGAATGGTTTAAAAAACATATTTTAGCAAAATTTGCACATCTACAGTTAGTTGATAGAGTGTTGGTGCTGTGGGGTTTCTCGGGCATAGGTTTGAGAAATGCTGGTTCTAGGCACAGACATTACATAAGGATGTGAAGTTATGTTTTTACCCAAGTCAGGGCTGTAAGGTATTGTGGAAGCCACCAGACTCCCAAGATGTCTGCATCGCCATAATGCTCTCCTGCTCTGCTGTGAATCTGCACATGGTCTCCTGCCAACTTTTTTCTTAAAACCCACTCCCAAATCCTCTCTGCATTATGTTCCTTAGAGCACTGCTTTGCATAAGAGTCTATTTCTTGGAAAGGCTCAGCAGGGGAAAAATAGAACAAAAGGGGCTCTGATCACTCAAGCAAGCATAAGCTATCTGGATAGAACTGGGAATGGAGAGGGGGGTGGGGCTGGTGGGAGGGAACAATCCTTTTGGATGAGGCAAGGTTTGCAGACTCCTCAGTGATGGGCTGAAATCTTCTCTGAAGATGGCCCAAGGCCTGACAGATCCGGGAAGAGCTTTATGAATGAGGGAAAGAGGATAAGTGCTTTTCCATCCTTGCCACTCGCCTCTCTCCATCTTGATACAAACTCCCATGGCCTGCCTAGTTCAGGAGGAGTGTGGTCACCTTGTTTCCTTCCTTTTCCAAGGAAGCTGGAGGGACCCTCTACCAGTTAACTCCTCTCCTACTTGCAGTCTGAATGGTGCATTGGAACAGAGAGGCTGAGGGGTGAATACTTTGAAATGGAAGTGTCTGCATTGGATTCATATGCTAGGAAAGGTTTTCACTTGCTTTCTTAGATCCTTTTGGGTTTATAGTTTGCAGGTCACTGTGTGCAGAAAATACATGTAGACCTTTTGGCTGCACCGTCTTAACTCATGTGTGTCTGTGTTTTGACCTCATACCCCTATGTTCAGTGTGGGGGACTGCACGTTTCAAACCATGAGATGCCTGGTTGCCTTGATGATAAAATTTGGGGCTTGGGCTTCAGGAAAGTACGACAGGGGAATAGAAGTCTGGTGACCAGAGGTCATCTCTTTAGGAATGTCTCGGCCCTGAGGTATGAGGTGTGAGACGGCCAAGTATCTGAGATCACAGCGATGTGCTCACATATGACCGGTAGATGGTGCTCTAACAATAAAAATATGGCTAATATCCCTCCGGAGCTGGAAAGGGATTTTAGGAAACCAGTTTCCAGTCAGAGTTATGACCAATTGCTGATTTTTTACATTTCCATTTGTGGTCTCTTTAAGAGGACAGTGGAACTAGGGACACAGGAAGGAGAATGCCCACCAAGTTCCCCTACAAAGAGCATTATGGCAGTGACCTAATCTCAGGGTTTTTTTTCCCCTAAGGATCCTTCCAGATCTTGAGGGCAGTAGATGTGTTCCCAGTTAAGCATCTTCCCAGCATAGTCCCAGGAGCATTTGGCCATTGATCAGATTCAATTTGAGGATGGTAAGCACAGTATTCCCATAGGCTTAGCATGACTGTATAGTTTCTTCTCTTGATGGTGAACAATTTGGAACTACCCTATTACTGCCCAGAAGAAATTAGCCTGGATATTAGAAAGAACCATCAAGTGAAAGTCAGAAAAGCTGTTACAAGTCTCAGCTTTGCCTCTCATTAGATGTGGACAAACTACTTAACATTTATGAAACTCTGATTTGTCCACCAAATCAGGGTCATCATACATGTTTGCCAGGCTGGCCTCAGAGGTGTGCAGTGAGGTTTATATAAACTGAAAATTATTAAAGACACAAAACTATTATTCAGCCATTAAACCTGTAGCCATCTGAGGGCTGGGAGAAGGGAGACATGGGAGAGCATAAAAGCAGTCCACAGATCTCAGAGGGCTCAAGAGCTGTGAAGCCAGGTGGGGGTGAATGTGAGAGAGTGCCTTCCTTCCAGCATTACTGTCCTTAGGCCAAGTCCCTTCCGAAAGCGATTTATACCATCATATTTGCCTCTCTGCTCCTGGGCTGCACCCTCCAGGAAGTCGCAGCTTGAACTCCACTACAGAGGCACCCGTGCTCCCCAGGATACGTTACATCATCCCCAACCATACATTTGTGATTTGTGCCTGCTCGGAAGGCGGGAAGGTAAGCCTCAACTCCAGGGGGCCCTCACATTTCTATGAATAATATCCTGCTGTGGGAATTCTAGGTCCCTAAAGAATTTTAACAGCCACAGAGCACAGAGGACATTGTAGAGAGAGCAAAGGAATCAGTACTGGATCTCTGTTGTATGGGTGACATTGAAGACACAAGTCAAGGGTTCCTAGTCTTCCAAAAACCTCTTCCTGGAAGTAACATGTTGGTGAGCCTTGCTTCTCTGAGCATTAAAAACAGGCATGCCACCTTTCAGCCTTTAAAGGCCAGGACAAGGACCAAAGGGGGTGATACTGCAGCATGAGAATGAGATCCATTATGCATTCCAGCCAGTAAGGTTATACAATTTAATCACAGAAGCAGATGCTTTATTTTTGTCATCATCTATTTTGCCCAATACTTTGGCCACCTGATGGGAAGGGCCAACTCACTCTGAACCTGGGAAAGATTGAGGGCAGGAGGAGAAGAGGGCGACAGAGGATGAGATGGTTGGATGGCATCACTGACTCAGTGGACATGAGTTTAAGCAAACTCCATGAGATAGTGAAGGACAGGGAAGCCTGGTGTGCTGTGGTCTGTGCGGTTGTAAAGAGTCAGATGCGACTTAACAAGACTCAACAACACAATTTTGTTCAGGAGTGTGTGCTCAGTTCCTAAAAGAATGCCTTGGGCTTAAAAACATTTGTCCAGTGATTTGAATGAATTTCGTGCTATGGGTTATGGTCCTACCTCTGAAAGCATGGATTTGGTCTTCACGGGGAGCCTTTTCTAACCCTGTGTAGTTTACAGAGCTATTGAGAGAGTCACTTGTGACTGGCTGGAAACAACTGATAGCTGATGGGCCTTTGGGTTCATAGTACCACCTTCCCTTTCACTCTGACTAGGTGTTCAGACAGAAAAGGACCCTCCAACTAAGGGAGGTAGTCAGACAGAGTAAGGCAGTAAGGAAAGCAAAATACTAATTAGAGCTGACTCACCTCAAATCATAATTGGACCCAAAATGGGCTCCCCTGAAGCAAAAGGTCAACCTGCCATGCCCAAAGGAGCAGTGCCTGCGCGGGTGGGGGTTTTCCGGCACCAGAGACTCTCCCTTCACCCCCCCCCCCCCCCCCACAGACATTCTCACAGAGCAGAGCTGTGTCAGTGCTCACATGGCCTCGCTCCCTCGCCTCATCCACGGAGGAACGCACACTGCCTCTCACTCAGACATCACCTGGTCTCCCTTCTCACCAGTTATCTCACACACAGACACTGCCTTTGACATCTGCGAGGGAACACTCACTCACCCAGGATTTCCAGGCTCTGGGCTCTGGTCACTCTCCTGTTTTCCTCCTCTGCCCCCACCCCCTTCTCCTCCACGGCTCAGGTGGGAACAACTTGGAAGGGCCAGCCTTCAGGCAAAGCAGTGGCAGCTGCTGCCTGTCTTCAGATCAGACCACTGACTCTCGTGGGGAGGGGCGTGGTTGCCAAACCCGGGGAACGAACTCTCTGGGGCAAGTCCACCTTTCCTTCGTCTGCAGCTCAAACAATAATTCTCCTTTTTCTACATTGCTGGAGTGGGTTCGAGGAAGTCAGTGCAGCTGACTTGAGGGTAAGAGGTAGGGATGGGCGGATCCCCCTGATTGTTAAGATTTCAAAAAGGTGGTTTTTAGCCCAGAACTCACTTCTGGGGACCCGGTATCTAGACCACCTTTCCAGAAATGCAGGGTTCTCCGAGAGCCAAACCCAAGAGGCCATCCCAGATTGCGTTTAGAGAGGGGCGGCTCTCTAAACCCAAAAAGCTCCCACCAGAGCTGGCTCCAGTGTGGAGACCCCGGAGGTCCTAGCGTCGCTCACGGGGCTTCCAGGCTGCTAAGTGGGGACAGGGGCGGAAGGGAGTGCTGCCTTCTCCGCGGGGAATGCTAGGGCAGTGCGCTCGGAGCCCGGGAGGTGCTGAGACGCGGCGACCGGGCCCCGGTGCAAGGCACGCAGAACGCAAAGGTCCGGCGACTGCGCGGGGCACAGCCCCGGCGGGCACTGACGGCGCGAGAGCGTGCGCGCGTGCGTGTGCGCCCCCGCCGGGCCTCGGCTCTGCCCGCGCGGCCAGCTGCGCCGGTCTGTCTCCTCTCCGCAGGACTTGGGGAGAGGCGACTCTAGCCTGGTCTTTGGCAGAGGAGGCCCCCTTCCCTCCGGCTACACCGATCAATAAGCCACACCAGCCCCGCGTCCCGGGAGCCCTCCGGCCGCTGTGGGCCGGGATCCTTCAGGCTCCATCCCGCCCCGCCCGCGCTCGCCGGCCCCGCCCCCGCTTCTCCCGCCGCTCTCGTGCGCGCCTCGCTGCGCCTCTGCGCTCCGCTCTTTCTCCCCTCCTCGCCTTCCCCGGTCTCCCGGTTCCCTGTCTTCTTCTCTGCTCCATCGAGGGGGGAGCTGCCGGGGTGGAAGAGGAAGACCGGGTCATCAGTGAGCAAGTTCGGTCCCTGGACAACTCCCGTGCCAGGCCGCCGCTGGGCTCGGCTGCAACCTGTTCCTTCCTCGCCCAAGTGCTCGCCCGCCCGCCCGCTCGCTCCCGCCCTCTCCCCGGCGCAGCCGCGGATCGCTGTTGCATGCTGATCCGGGGAGGCGGCGGCGGCGGCGAGCGCTCCGGAGGATGCTGGCACTCGGGCTTCGCTGCTCTCTGGATGCTTTTCAACTTCTCTCCCAAGCGCAGGAGCTTTGAAGTCATTTGTCCCTCTCCGGTTGGATCGACTTCTTATTTTGATATTTTGGGCGTTGCGGTTTACGCAGGAACCTCAATACCGCTCTCCTCCCTCCCTCCCTCTCTCCTTCTCCACCTTTGGATGCGTCTGTGCTGGCAGGTTTAAAGACCCAAGTCTTGGTTGTGGAATTTCTTAGATGGACTTGCAGGGGCCGGCGTTATAAAGCATGTCAACGTAACCTCGTCCTTGTCTTTTTTTTTTTTTGAAAAGTTCTTTTGTTTTCATTTTTCCCCTCCCCCATCAGTAAATTACCAAACTGTTACCTAGCGGGCCGGTGCCTGCCTCTCTCCCAGAACTAGGTGGTGCGTCTACCAGAAGAGGAGCTATGTTTGAAGAGCAGCCTACTCCACCCCTCTTCTCTCCAGTCCCTGAACGCCACCACACACTGGCATTTTGAAAAAAAAAAAAAAATTGTCTCCAGAAACGGAGCACCCCCCAGCTCTCCCCCCCTCTTTTTTTCCTCCTTGAGGAATGGAGCTTCGCAGAGGTTGCATTTAGATTCAACAGTTCAGAGCGGCGGGGTTGCTGCTGCCGCCTCTCCGAAGAGCTCGCGAGGCTCCCCGAGGCGGTGGTCCCTGTGCCCGTCTGGATGCGGCTCTGAGACTCCGTGTATCTTTCTGCTTGTTGCTGTGTGCGGGTGTTCGGCCACGATCACCTTTGTGTGTCTTCTGTCTGTTTAAACTTCAGGATGGCTCGCTTCGGGGAGGCGGTGGTCGGCAGGCCGGGGTCGGGCGATGGAGACTCGGACCAGAGCAGGAACCGGCAAGGAACCCCCGTGCCGGCCTCAGGGCCGGCGGCCGCCTACAAGCAGTCGAAAGCGCAGAGGGCGCGGACTATGGCTTTGTACAACCCTATTCCCGTCCGGCAGAACTGTTTCACCGTCAACAGATCCCTGTTCATCTTCGGAGAAGATAACATTGTCAGGAAATACGCCAAGAAGCTCATCGATTGGCCATATCCTTTCTTGCCCACCATTACTCCCCTCTCCCCTTTGCATTTCTTCGGGTAAGGGGGGATGCCTAGCATGGAATTTGCCCCCCATCCCTTTCCTGGTGCCGATTTGCCCCTTTGCTGAAGTGCACTCTATACTTTGGTGCATCTAAGAGGCAAGCATGGTGCCGTAGAAACCGATGTGGGCACTAGTGTTTTTCAAGGTAAGACTTCTGGTTTCTGATTTTTCCTCCGTGAAAGTCTCCAGCATTCCTGGGTGCATGGTGTTGCAGTGTTTGCCCCTTTTGGGGCTGGGCTTGATTGGATTCTAGGCCCCCTGGTCCCTTCCCAAGCTGCATAGAACGGGTTGCCTCTAATCTCAGGATTTTCTTTCACACTCAGCCCCCTACTGTCCCTTGAAGCCATCCCCTTTGCCCCCATCCCCACCAGCTGGGAAAACACCTACTCTGCCTGGAGGAAAATCGAAGCTCTGTGAGGATTTATCAGCTTAGGAGCTTCAAGAGCTCGGAGCCCAAACGCTGTAGACACATTGACAAATGGATAAATAACGCAAGCGTTTGGCCTGGGACCCAGCTAACTGCTGGGGATTGAGTTTAAGTTCTGCTGGAAGAGGAGTGAGTGAGTGTGTCCCAGGAGGCAGTCTCTAGTGACAACCCAACAGCTCAGAGTTCGGGTGCTCTTCTCAGTCATGGCAGAGCAGCTCATCAGGGCCCATCCTTTCCTTAATCTGGGTTGGGTACTCCTGCCTCTTCAGGCTTGAGCAGCTGAGTGCCTTCCCCATTCCCAGGATCCAGGCAGACCTGCTGGGCCCGAATTCATCAGCGGAGGGCTGCATCAGCTGAGCCCAGAGGTGTGCAAGCAATCGTCTCTCTCTAGCTCCATAGGAACTGCTCTCCACAAAGATCTGTTGGTGGCAGTGTTAGGGTGAACGGCAGAGAAGGAGCTCCTTGGCAGGTTTAGTGAAGCGCATCCAGTGCAGGCTGCTGATGAGGCATCTCACAGCCTCGTTCTTCACTAAGAATATGGGCATCTGGCAAGGTCTTTAGGAATCAGGGGCTGCTGGTGAGGGAATGAGTAGGGAGCAAGCTGGAGGGGGGGGTGGATTATATACGGGGGTAGGCTTGGAGACATGGGACTTTGATGCTCTTGGAGACATTTCTTGGGAGGGATGCACCTGCAAAAAGAGGCCACTCCTCGTCTTCCTTCGCCTTCCTTCCCCCACCCCCAACCTCTAGGTGTGCATGGGGAGGCAGCTGGAGCCACCTTGGGTCTCCAGTATCCTGGAAGCTCGTGGCTTGCCCACCTTGGGGTCTGGGCATCTCGCTGCTGCCCCCACCCCAGCCTCTGGCCTTCGTTTCCTTCCTCCCTAGGTCTCTGCCTCAGCCGCACCGCGATTGGCTGGCGTGTGGGGCTTCTAGGGAGCACCCCTCATTAGAAACGGGGGAGCATCTCTAAGCAGACACTCTTCCTGCTGCAGCTCGCACCCCCCCCCCCCTTCTTGCACTCCCGTCTCCCTCCCACCCCCACAGAGTGATCCTGGGGCCAACCGGTGCCAGAGTTAAACCTGTCTGGGGTGAGGGGACGGGCAAGGGGGAAGGGTCCGGCCCCTGCAGTCCCGCCCGACCGGTCCGCTGCACAAAGCGACAGCTTTCATTGTGTTTCGTGCTGCGGCTGGCTGCGAACACTCCGCGAGCCAGGTCCCTACAGATTTTCCCGGCAGGCACCCCGTTCCTCGCCCGCCCATCTTCTACAATTCTCCAAAATTTCCCACCCACCTTGTGCTGCTTTACAGCGCGCCTCTCTTAGGGGCGTGTTTACCCAGACAGGCGCCCTCCCGTTGCCAGGCGGTAGACAAAGTCGCCCAGCCGCCCCGCGGGTGGCAGAGTGTGCCCGTGGCCAGCTTTGGCACCTCGGACGGCACCCCGTAACTCCCCTCGCGGCCTGGGCTCCACCGTCCCTCCGGGTTTAGCACCTCGGGCACTTCCGGCGCGGCCCAGGCTCCCGGGCGGGGAAATTCAGCACGTTTCCTACACCGCGAGGTCGCTGCTTTTCACGTTTTCTCTTCCGCTGCGAAGACGCCCCCTTTCTAGCAAGCGTTGAGAGCTGCACAAGGTGTGACTGTGGGTTTCACTGCACTCTTTCCATGTCTTTGGCCAGATTGCGCCAAAAAGTCAAGAGAGACAGTAGGGAGTTAATTTCAGCATCCTGCTCAGTGCCTTGGCCCTGAGCCCTATCCCAGTGGTCCCTTCCACCCCATTGTTGGAAGTTTCGCAGTGGTTCTACTGCATGCAGGCTGTAACAGTGATCGGAGAACATCTGCTAAGGTGTGTAGAGGAGCCCTGTTGGCAAATTTAAAATACACCATGTTTTTTTTTTATTCCTGGCTGTATAGTGTAATTGACTAATATATATTCCCTCTGGTGGTGACCATGTGGAAACATTGCATTTCTGGGGGTTCTGCGTGTGCTGTAATAGGGCATCTAAGTTCCTAGTCTCACCTCTCTTCCTTTCTAATTACTTTCCGGAATTACATTCCTTCTTCTTACTGGGAGTCATTGTGAGTACTGGTTTACCAGCAAAGCTTTGGAGCTCAGCTGTCTGGGTTCAAATCTCAGTTCCTTCACCAGCCCTGTGACCTTGAAAAGTTACTTTTTTTTCTCTGTGACTCAGTTTCCTTATCTGTGAAGTGAGGACGATAATAATGAGTTACTGGGAGAATTAAATGAATTAATATATGCCAGGTTCCTAGAGCACTGCCTAATTACCTGATAAATATTAATAGAGTCCTTAAGAAATTTTAGCATACCGAAGGGAGTGATCTTAGTTCTTGGTGAACTAAGTCTTCTAGGTTTTTGCCTCCCACAGACAGCAAGGGCAGCATCCTCATCACCTAGGGGCTTGTTAAAAATTCAGAATTCCAGATGCAGAGAAGAAACCAGTGGTTATCACAGGGGAGAGGGGCAGAGGGAGGGGTAAAATAGGTGAAGGGGATTAAGAGGTTCAAACTATCAGTTATTTTAAATAAGACACAGGGGTGTAATGTACAACACAGGGAAATATATAAAATACAGTCTATATTTTATAATGGAACTTCCCTGGTGGCTCAGTGATAAAGAATCTGTCTACCAATGTAGGAGACATGGGTTTGATCCCTGGGTGGGGAAGATGCCCTGGAAAAGGAAACGGCAACCCATTCTAATATTCTTGCCTGGGAAATTGCATGGACAAAGGAGCCTGGTGGGCTACAGTCCACAGGGTTGCAGAAAAGTTGGACACAACTTAGCAACTAAACAGCAACATATTTTGTAATAACTTTGTACAACATGTTATCTATAAAAATATCAAATTGCTCTGTTGTACACCTGAAGCTATTATTGTAAATCAACTATACTTCACTTAAAAGCAGTTCGGAATCCTGAGCAACGCTACAGATTTACTGAATCAGAATCTGCATTTTAGTAAGATCCTCAGGTGATTAGTATGCCCATTTGTTTGGGAAATGCTTCTGTGCTCTACGTAGGGCCAGAATTTCACAGGATGTAAGATTCAGGACACACGTCAAGACCTGTTTTGAACTGTCATATTCACATGCAACATGCTTGGGGATTTTGATTATTCATGCAGTGCACCTTCTGAGATAAATACATCTGTTTTTGGCTGCAGAAAGTCACTGGAGAACCAGGAGTTGTTCAGTCGCTCAGTCATGTCCAACTCTGTGACCCCATAGACTACAGTACACCAGGCTTCCCTGTCCTTCAGTATCTTCCGGAGTTTGCTCAGACTCATGTCTGTTGAATCGGTGATGATCCGGCCATCTCGTCCTCTGTTGTCCCCTTCTGCTCCTGCTAGGAGGAGAGCTAGGAGGATAATGTATAATTCTGTGTGCTGTGTTAGTGGTTTCTGATCACTACATTTTACTGGTCTTTAATCACATTGGGCTGAAAAGTTAAATATAAGGAATGATGTAACTTATACTTGGGGGATTCTCTGATTTGGATGGAGGGTGGTAACCTTATCCAGTTATTAATTGGGAAGGTCTTGTACTTGTGGAAAAAAGTGCCTAGGATAACCAGATTTGGCATGAAAAATGGTGGCAGGTCAACAGCCCACTCTGAATATGTTTCATTTTTCTTGGAAGCTACATCTGCATAGGGAGATAATTTTATTTTCTTATGGCACTCTCTTCTGCAGTGGATACCATAACCTTTTTGAAAATGTTAATCTGATTTAAAATGTGGTATTACATTTTACATGATTCTTCTTTGCTTTCTTGCTCATCTAATAGATCTAACAAAAGGGTTCCCTTTTTCTCAGGGAACTGGCTGCTCTGAATGTCACCCTGCATTTACTGTGTTGTGTGCTTCCTGGCGCTAACCCTTCTGTGCCAGGGCCGGTTGCCCTGTAGACCTACAGAGTCTCGCTCATGGTTTGTGAGATGCTCCCCACACATTTTTGCTTTTCCAGGTTAAAAGAGGAAAGAAATAAATGGCATGTCTGACCTTGTGCCATTGAGGAGCAGTGGGGGACTTCTCCCCCACTGATGGCGTGGGTCAACTCAGCAGGGGAGCACATGTTTCATGTGGAAATGAACATGGTTTAAAGTAGGAAGATCAAATGTGTTTTTAGCCACTGAGCTAATCAAGCTCATTGTAATGAACCTGCGGATATTCACTCAGGATTTCTTATTGTAGAGAAGTTCATTATAGCCCCAGAGAACTCTGGCTTGAGTCTGAGGTTATGTGCTGTATTGTGGAGAATTTCCCACAATTGTCAATTGTCCATTATTTTTGGAGGATTTTGGTGAAGATTCCTGAGAGCTTTAGTATTATGGCGTATACCTTTCTCCTGCTTTGTTGCCCATAAATATATTGCGCCTTGAAAGATAGTAGACTGCAATCCTGGCAAGAATTTCAGGTTGGATGTAACTTCAGTGGCTCATGAGTCAGATCACCTTGATTAGGGCAGAGGCTGGCAGTTAACAAGAACAGAGTCTGTAATTGTAT